AAAGATTCTGCTTGTAATCTCTCTCTTTCTGTGGTGGAAGCTGGGAACTCTGTATGTGAAACACAGTTTAATCGTCCTTAGAGTGGGGCAGGGAGGGACATGCATCAGCACTGCAGCAAGCTAAATCTTCAAACAAAACTTATAAAATGGCTTTGCAATCTTTATAGGCTTCTGGCACATAGTAGGTGTTTGTTAAACCTGTTGCAGGGATGAGATCCTTGCTGTTCTGAGGCCAGGTGCTTCCTGTGTTTTTTTTTCCGCAACATCCTTAACAATCAGAGCAGGTGGGGCCGAGGCTGGAAGACAGAGCCCTGACCGGTTGCAGGGATGAGATCCTTGCTGTTCTGAGGCCAGGTGCTTCCTGTGTTTTTTTTTTCAGCAACATCCTTAACAATCGGAGCAGGTGGGGCCGAGGCTGGAAGACAGAGCCCTGACCACACTCCAGAAAGAGGGATGCTGATGGAGAGGCTGGGATGGAAGCTAGGCAGGGTGTCCGCCAGCTCCTCTTAAGGCTGAGCCACCCCCGGCCCACTCGGGTGTTAACGCCAGCTCCTCTTAAGGCTGAGCCACCCCCGGCCCACTCGGGTGTTAACGCCAGCTCCTCTTAAGGCTGAGCCACCCCCGGCCCACTCGGGTGTTAACGAGGAGGCCTAGACGCCACTTGCTCACTACCTGTCAACTTTCCTTTTTATTTCTTGTTTGTTTCTCAACTAATTGCATCTGCTCTGTGGGTAAATGCTTTATTAGTTGGGGCCAAAGCCCAGGCATTCTCCGGACCTGATGAATCAGGCCGCGTCTCCGGGAGGCTCTCTGTGTGAGGTGCCTGGCCCCTGAGTCACTAGGCAGTCCAGTGTCTGCAGACGCAGATCCCTGCTGCCTATGGTTTGCTGCCTATGGTCGAACAGGAGTTTGGGGTGTGCTGGAAAGGTGGCCATACGCTGGAAGGAGCTGCAAAAGAACCAAGGAGGGTTGTGGACCAGCCAGCGAGTTTTGGAGGAAAACTAAAGAGCAGGTGGGTGTGATGGGCAAGCCAGGGCTTGGCTGCCATGAGCTCAGCTCCCTTCCCCATGGAGCCTCTCAGGTCCTCCTCCTCCCTCCTCAGCATCTTCCTGGCATTTTCTACAGACAGAGAAATGCCTTCCAGTGATCTAGACACTTAAAACGAGGTTTTGAAGATGATGCTTTTAAGATGTGGCCAAAGAACAGCTTGCTTTCTGAAACTGGGATTTGTTAGATTCATTCTTAAACTTCCTATACTAGTTTTCTTGTTTCTGAAAGTAACTGACTAGTGTCTCGCTGGTGTTGGGTGAGGACACATGAGGCATGGGTCTCACAGCTTAGCTCAGTCTTTGGAGAATGACAGAGTCAGGGTATGGACTTCTGGCCTCAGCTTTTACAGTTTGTCCTCACTCACCCCATCTCCTCTGCCTCTCTCTCTCTCTCTCTCTCTCCCCCTTCCCTCCCTCCCTTCCCACCCCCATACTTTACTTTCCATCAACCAAAGTTTATTTTGTATCTAGTGAGGCAGGACTTGAACATTCAGTAGTAAATAAGACAGACCCGCTCCTTCGGGTCTCCTGGAACTTTCCGTTCTATCAAGGTGACAGACAAGGCTGGGTGAAGGAGATGATTGGTAATGGCAGCAGGTAGTCCCTGCTGTGGAGAGCAGGTGTGTGGATGGAGGTGGTGCTTGTGAGGTGGGAGATGGCAGTCTACCACAAGTACGGAGGTGGCTGGAGTTGAAGCTGCGTCCCAAATGCGGAAAGGGCTTGTCGAGTCTCAGAAGCAGTTTTCCCACTCCTCGGTGCTAAGATAACATATTAGCTCAGAGATGGTTATCAGGAAGCATTTTGAATTAATTTTTTGTTGGCATGCAAAATAAAGGGTCTTGTGATACTTTCACACCTGTGTTGCACACTTTGCTCATATTGATTCCCCATTTTACCCTGTTGTCCCCTCTAGCCTGCTCCAGTCTTCCTCTTCCCAAGTAGTCCAGCTTCTGAAGAAGCGTTTTTAACTTCCACAAATGATTTCTTCATCTCTCTGTGTGTATACATATATGTGTATGCCTGTTTTTGACATGTGCAGGGAAAGTACCTTTTCTGGAGTCTGATCCTGCTTTGCCTTTATGACAGCCAGAAGCAAAGCTTGGCCCAGTTTGACAGACTACATGGAAGGCAGCGTGTTGGGGCGGACTGGCTATTTGTTCTAAGTCCTAGTGAACATCAACTGTTGAATCCTTGCTTCTTTGACTTCTGGGATAGGTAAAAACCTTAGATATCATTTTATAAAATAATAGCCTATTAGTGATAGGTGAATGTCCCTACTGCCACCAGGAAAGCAGGAATTAGCCACTAGTAGGCAGCTACTGAGGGTGGCCATGGAAACCCTTTCCTGCAGAGGACTCTCCACATGGAACATGGGGCTACCTTTTAGACATCAGTGGGAAATCCTTCTGAATCTGTGGATATGTTGGGGAGGGTTTTCTTGTGGAGAGGAAAGTGGGGGGGGGCAGCTTCAAAGGAACCGCTCTCCCCAGCCTTGGGTGAAGCCCTTCTGAGATGTTTGTGCCTAGCCTTTCTCCAGTCATGTTCCGGATGGCTCTCCTGGAGACACCTGCTGCTGGGGGTCTCGATGGCACTTCACTGTCTTCTAGTGTCTGTGTTCTGGTTCTTCGTGACGGTTCCTGACATTTGAGACGCAGTTTGGTATTTCATTTAGAGGCTGACCTGACCCGGGCATCTTAGAGCAACTTCCGCCATGTTTTTGCAGACTGGCGGCCTGGGTGGGATCCCAGGAGCACAGCAGTTTTGCAGATGTTGGGCTATTGTTTTCTTCCCGGACAGTGGCAGTCTTGAGTAGATCTAGAAAGTTCTCTGTGTTCTGCATCCAGCCCAGGAAGGGGGAGTGGCAGGCTAGAATGGCCATTAACTGGCTCAGTCTGCTCTAAGGCAGGGCAAGGTGACTGACTGACGTGAATGTGGGCTTTGGGATCACAAGGCGTTTAAGTGGATGGTGTGAGCATCCCTCTGTGTGCAGGTGATGTGTTTTGGTATAATGTTTTCAGGTGCTATAAGGGGACCCAAAATACTATGGCACAACATGTGCTGAGGTTAACCGTGACCTGGAATACGTACCTCCTGGGTCTCAGCCATGTCTCAGATGCTGGTTGGGGAAATCAGTGAAGAATCTAAAACAGAAATGGCTGTTGGGTCCATGTTGTTGTGTACTATGGACTCCGGGTAAAGCACCCACCCTCCTGCCTCTGAGAGCAGAAAGTGATGCATATGGAACGCTCCCTCCTGGGAGCTGGCATCCCAGCCGCTCCCTGTCCTCCTGCCTTCAGGGGCAGGTTGGTGGTTGAGTCCCTGTTCTCAATGACACTGGAGGGGGACAGAGGACATGAGAGGGCCTGGTGAGGAGACAGTAAGGCCTGACCGGGACAGGGATGGTGTGTTTACAGGTGAAGTCGAAGCCTTGACAGAGTAGAAAGCCTGCCCCTCCCCTACCTGCTTAGGAGGTCCTTATTTAAAATCAGTCACAGCTGTGACATAGGATCACTTCCTGGGGTAGAAAGGGGTTTGTTTTTCATTTTGGTGAGGTAGATTCATTGCTAGTTTAAATCATCTCATTGTAAACCAAGAGCAAGGAGCTTAAATGTTTATTTACTCAAAGACTGGGGGCAGGGGTCGGGGAGAGAAAGAACAAGGGACCTATGAACTCTCAGGGACATTCAGGAAGGAAAGCCGCAGCTGGTTGGAGCTGGTGACCTGCTGAGGCTGTGAGATGTTCTGTCCATCAGTCACTTGTCAGCACCAAAAGGGGCTGAGGTGTCTGGCAGGTGCCGTCCCAAAGCCAGCAGCTTTGAGCTGAGCCTAGGAAGGAAAAAGGATTAAGGTGGATGAGTGAGATTTACTTTGCTGAGCATTTGAAACCAAACACACTTGTTTATTGGCTCCGCATCAACTGAAGTTGATTTCTGAGGTTCCATGTTGTCCTCTGGGAGAGGAAAGACATCTGTCTGTAACACAGCAAAATTGCTGAGCTGATTCATGGGGAGATACTTGTTTTCTGGGTGAGTTTCCTAGCATATTCTTTTTTTGTTGGGTGATACTTATATTTTAAAGTATTGGTAGCAATAATTTGTACATACTTCAGTATTAAAATGTTGGCAGTGGTGTACGCAGGCAAAACCATTGCGACAGCCAGGATAGTGAAAGTGTCTGTCATTCAACAACTCAGTCACACTGGTCCCAGACACCACCCGTCCCTTCCCTAGGCACCAGTGATCTCTCTGTCACCAGATTAATTTGTGTTTGCTAGAACAGTTATACAGATCAACTGTGTAGTGTACATTTTGTCTCTGGCTTCTTTTAGTAGATTTTTTTTGATAATTCGTTGTCATTGTCTGTTATAACATTGTTTTTTGCCAAAGCTGCTGCTGTTTGGACCTGGAGGTCTCCCTGAAGGACCCAGGTATCAAATGCTTGGCCCCTAGCCTGTGGTGTGATCAGGAGGTGGTAGAGTCATCAGGGGGTGGTGTCTAGGAGAAGTTAGGTCATTGGGGTATGTGGCACTGAAGGGACTATTGGGACCACGCCCCTTCTTGACTCTCCTTGCTTCCTGGCCACCATGAAGTGAACAGGGCTTCTGTGCCATAGTGCATTGTATTGCCTCAGCCCAGAGCAGCAGGGCTGACTAACTCCCAAACTATGGGCCACAGAAACCGTTTTTGCTAATTAAGTTGATTTTCTTGGGTATTTTGTCACAGTTCCACGAAGCTGACTCACATAGAAGAGCAGCATTCCATTGAATGGACATACCATAGTTCATCTGTTGACATGCTGATGGAATTTCTGGGTTTCCAGCTTTGCATTATTCAGAATAAAGCTATGGTGAACATTTGTGTACAAGGATTTGTGTGGGCACATGCTTCTATTTCTCTGTGGGAAATATCTAAGAGGGAAAGGTTGAATCATAAAGCAGGTATTTATTTTTTTAATTTGTTTATTTACTTTTATTATTATGTGTGTGGGCAGATATACACCACAACATGCTTATGGAGATCAGGAAAGCATTGAGGAGTTGGTGCTTTCCCTCCACCTTTACCAAGTCCAGACATCAAACTCGGGACTCCGGGTATGTGGCAGGTGCCTCCCTGCAGAGTCATCGCGTTGCCAAGCATTCCCATAGCTGTTTTCTATTTTAGTTGGGTATGCAACTCTGATTTCTTCACATGATCCTTTCTGGATGTTGGGGGCCACGAGTCAAGTTGTAGGTGTTTTACTATAGTGATGCCGCCCTGGGGTCTCAATTCCCATTTACCTGATGATGAATGATCTTGGACCATCTTTTCATATCTTTATTTAACAGCCTCCATCATCTTCGGGTAGAATGTTTGTTAATATACTTTGCCATTTAAAAAATTGACTACTTTTCTTTCAAGATTTGCTTTTTGCATTTTCTTTACATTTCTTCTCCCCATCCCTCTATTTCCTGTGGCGTTTTGAGGGTTTATATAAATTCCTTTTGACTCAGAGTTGGAGGGTATAGTCCATCATGGCAGGCAGAGTATCTCAGTAAAAGCAGCACTACTGTGATGGCAGGGGCCTGAGGCAGGGGTGTGAGGTGGCTGGCATATTGTGTCCACAGTCAGGAGCAGAGAGAGGTGAAGGCCACTGCTCAGCTTCCCTTTATAACCCTTGACCCCAGCCATGGAGTGGGGCTGCCCACATTCAGAGTGGGTGTCCTCCTCAGCTCAACATCTCTGGAAAAGCCTTCACAGACACACCCAGAGGTATGTCTCCTAGGCAATTCAAATTGCATCAAGTTAATAATCTAGATTAGTGCTTATAGTTAGTTCTTTAGTGTCCTGGGTTCAAGACCGTCATATATTTGATTTGCAAATATTTTCCATTTAAAAACATTTTTATTTATTGTTTTTATTTTGTGTATATGAGTGTATTGCATGTATGTATGTAAGTGCACCGTGTGGTGTAATGCCCATGGACA